TCTTTTTGCACTCCCTCCTTGCTGAGTCGAGGGAGGAATGGAGGGAAGCATTGTCCTTACGTGTGAACGAATTGAAACGAGAGGTACGCTACTCAGCCGGTGCGGCATTGCCAGCGAGGCGTGACGGCAATGAGGGAGACGATGTGGAGTGGTCCGTGGCGCAACTTTACAAAACTTTGGTGACTGGTCTCAACAGCACGGCCACGGAGGAATTACTGACCTCGCGCTTATTTGGCGGTGATGCCTCACTCTGCCATGACAGTATTGACTCCTTTGGACTGCTGACGGTGTTTCGGGCGCCCATCCAAGAATTATTGGCACAACATGAGGAGCTTGCCCCAAGTCTCACGATACTTCGTCGGTCCTTTGCAGCGCTTCATCCCTCAAACGGATGCCCAAAGACCATTAGCCATACAGAAATTTCAGCGCATGATGCCGAAGAGAACACTAATACGTTTTTACAGTTTGCTGATTCCCCAGGAGCGGTGGCGAAGGCGTTGCGCGGTAGAGTAAGCCCCTCTTTGCGTCGCTTGTTGTACGCACGTGCGCTACAGCTTTCAATTATCGTCACGGATGGGAGTTCACTCTTTGGGGGTCGTGGAGAACTTCAGGTGAATCGGCATTGCGATGGCGTGGAAAGATTCTTGACCTTTGCCACGAAACATGGCCGTGACAAGGTTAGACGTCGCATTTACCATAGTTACGCCACGAAGGAGCAGGAGACAACGGCTAAGGTGATTCAGGCTATTGTTAAGGTGGATAATTCACAATCTGTGGGTAACAGCGATAAATATTTCATCTTCTCGGACGAGACGGAGGTACTCGTCGTCTCTCTCCTCATGGATAAGAGTTTGCCAGAGGTGCATATGAAAAACACGTTGCGTCTGATGGGTCGCTCGTCTGAACAGATTGAGTCTTATTTGGTATTTTTAGAGGAAAATAATGAGGAAACTGGGCCACGGCAGCGAAGGCCACCGCCCTCGGGTTTTTTCCCCGTTCGTTGCTTTTCACTACTTGTCGCACCGGTGTGTTACATCACCGGCGATACGGTGGAGCAGTACGAACTCGTTTCATCGCTTTTTGGACAACTCTGGGGTCGTATTCAGGGCCCCACGCCTGAACTGGCGCAGTGTTGCTGGATTTTTGAGGCGTTGGTTGCTCGCTTTGCAGCTCCAGCGTGTCTCCATGCTACACGCACGCTTGGTCTCCCACCGTTACGTTTGGCGATTCAATGGATGATCACTGCATTTGTGGAGGTGCTTGAGCCAGCGGAACTTCTGGCCTTTTGGGACCTTATTTTGTCCTATCACATTGAAGAAATATTTGCTGGACGTACGTCACTGTCTGTGCACATTCGAGAGGGTGTGGGAAGCGGGGTGGAGAAGAAGAAGAAGGAAATGGAGGGAGAGGAAAAGGAGGTGTCTCCCTTTGCACCTTCTGCCCTGTGGCTTTTGCCTTTGCTGGCGGCAAGTCTCTTTGTTTACCGCGCTCCATTGGTTGAACGCTGTGCGACAGCGGAAGAGATGCTTGTAGTTTTTAAAGACGGTCACCACTTGCGATGTCGGCCGCTCTTGCAATATTTGCTGTTCATGGCGAAATGACATGGAGGCCGTTTTTCTTTTCTTTTTGTTGTTATTGTTGTTGTCACATTTATTGGTGGGGGTGATGGGGTGGGATGGGCGTAGGAACGAGAGAGGAGGGCGCGTCTTGTGCCGATTGAATTGGCAGGAGTTGTGAGGCGACGTAATATTTAAGAGATATGCACACAAGAAGAAGAAGAAGAAGAATAAAAAAAAAAAAACAGCAACAAGCAGGTGACTGCTTTTAGAAGGGCAGAGGAGTGATGTGCGGTGACCTCTTTTTAGGGTTTTTTTTTTTTTTTTTTTTTGGTAGCTCCACTTCTCTTCTGTGACGCAACATCTCATTCAAGTTAATTCGTTCCTTTTGGTTTTATTTTTATTATTTGAGGAGGAGATTTCTTCTCATTGGCGTCCAAATTGACATCCATCGCTGTTAATTTTGTGTCTTCATTCTTGTGGGATTTTGCCACTTTCTTTTCTTTTTATGTTTGTGCCTTTTAGCACGCGGGTATGTACGTGGAACAACTGCGGCGCGGAATTGAAGAGCAGGAGCGGCGTGTGTCGGCTCTGCGACAGGAGAAACAATACCGCGACTCTCTTCTTAGTGAAGTTCGGGGGTTAATTAACCACGTGGAGCCCCATTTGTTTCATGAGCTCAATTCGGACACGCAGGAACTCCTGCACACGCTCGAGAATAATGTGTCGGTGCGTGGGCCGCCGACGAATACCCTCAGAGGCTCCGGCCCACACGACTTGGATTCATCCACGATCCCTCTGTTTAGCAAAGAAATGGAGGAGCGCATCATGCAGATCGAGGAGCAACCGCCACACAGGGAGCGGCGTCCAAGACACCAACGGCATGGCGAAAGGAAGA